CAAACTTTTATTTTCAGCTGTGCAAAGTATTAAAAAAAGGGAGCATTGTTTTCTCACACCGTCATATAATGCAAAGGCGCCATTGGTCGGGTCATTATTTTAAACCCCCACTCCCCTCCACCCACACAGCCCTACTTGGCCTCCCTCCAGGGCTGGTCATGTGACTCTCTGGGCTAAGACACACTACACCCACTGCCTTCACGTAAACCTTTGTGTTATTCTCCAAGCCCAGTTACACAAACAAGCGGCTGGCTGGCCTCAGCCAATGGGCGAACCCCAAATACGCCCATTGGCTGACGGGCCCGGGCGGTCCTCCCAGCCATTGGCTGAAGCTCCTCTGGGCGTGCACGTGAAGGAAGCGTGATCAGCTGCTGCCCTGCGACACACAGGAAGCATGAACCCGGCGAACCGCCGCTCAGCAACCTTTCACCTACTTTCTGATCCGCACACACATACACAGCCCGGGATGCCTGGCCGACAATCCGAGCCCACATACACAGCCCGGGACGCCTGGCCGACAATCCGAGCCCACATACACAGCCCGGGACGCCTGGCCGACAATCCGAGCCCACATACACAGCCCGGGACGCCTGGCCGACAATCCGGAGCACACATATACACAGCCCGGGGCGCCTGGCCGACACTCCGGAGCACACACATACACAGCCCGGGGCGCCTGGCCGACTCTGCGAGCACCGCTGCCACGGGGGAACACGGACAGACCTAAAAAATTATCACAACCGGCCTGTGGCTAGAAGCTGGCTGCGAGTGAGGTCATGCTGGGGACATCACGTTCAATTCACAAAGCTTTAACGCAAGGATAAGTACCTGTATTTTAGTCATGTGACTGTCCTTTCCAACTCTCATTGGACTCAACTAAAAACGTCTCACAAAAATCCTTTTATCCTGGGGTGTTAAGATGAGGACGCCATGGTTCCCCATGGTGGGCTGGGGACCGTGTTATAAATAGACTTTATGTAAGAGCAAGACTGACCCAGAGCAAGCCAGCACTTGTCCCCGGAGCTCACATTGTTGTCACAAAGAACTGCTAACTAAGCATTGTCACAAGTACAGACCATGCATCTCTTATGCAGCCTCTCCGGTACCCAGCAGGTCTTGCAGGCAGCCAAAAAGAAGACAAAGTATCACTGACCGGTGCTGGGAGCTCTCTGCATATGAGCAGAAACAGGTCTGTGTGTGTATATCATCCACATACATCTGTCTATAGATGCCATTGTTCAATACATCTTGCCAAAGCAATCGCACCAGAGGAACTACAAGTATCATCATGCCCTGAAATGATTGCTAGGACTGACACACATACATATACATCAATTGGGGAACTACAAGTATCATCATGCCCTGCAATGATTGCTAGGACTGACACACACATACATACATCAATTGGGGAACTACAAGTATCATCATGCCCTGGCAGGGATTGCTAGGACTGTTGCTGGAGAACTATACACCACTACCATTGTATATCTTCTGAGCTTCACTGTCATCAGCCACACCTGAGGAACTACAAGTACCATCAAGCCCTGGAATGGTTTGCTAGGAGTGTCTCATCTCTGCTGCAGATCCATGAAATGATCTTGGTGATCCTAGTACCCCTGCCTTGCCTACAATTGCAAACAAGCACACCTGAGGAACTACAAGTACCATAATGCCCTTAATCTCATCTGCAGTAGAACCACACAATGCCATTATATACACGGTGTGCCCCCCAACCCCCCAGGGTCATCCTCACCCCCCCCAATACTCCTGGATATATCTATATATTCCATCAGATGAACTACAAGTACCATCATGCCCTTAATGATCTCATCTGCAGCAGAACCTCACAATGCCATTATATACATGGTGTGCCCCCAACCCTCCCCATACTCCTAGATGAATAGATCTGTCTATATATCCCATCAGAGGAACTACAAGTCCTGTTGTGGCAAGGATTACTAGGACTGCCTCACCCCCTCTGCCTGAGCTTCAGTGTGATCAGCCACCAAACAAGCACACCTGAGGAACTACAAGTATCATCATGCCCTACAATGATTGCAAAGACTGACCCATCTCTGCTAGTCAGCTACAATGCCATTATGTGCCCCCCCCCCCCACCCCCCA